CCGTCCCATCCCGTTTGTTAGCGGGACGGGATGGGCCTACCATCCGTCTCGTCCCGTCCCATCCCATCCTGTTTGTTAGCGGGACGGGATGGGCCTACCGTTTCGTCCCGTTTGTCTCGTCCCGTTTCGTTCCGTCCCGCCACCGTCCCGACTAAATGTCGTCCCGTTCCGTCCCGTTAATTTTGTCCCGTCCCGTCCCATTGGATAGCCATATTCTGTATTGTGATTATCTTGTTAGATTAGTGCTGTGAGTAGGAGATTAAGAGTTGTTTTTGGAATAGTAAGCAGACAATGACTTAATTTCAGTGTTGGATCCAAATAGAAACATCCTTGTTTTCAATAGTCTCAACATGACTTCTTCATTACGGCTACTCTTTTACACAACCGTTGAGAAATGCTTCTCTTGATCCGAGAGTCTTTCGAAAATAGTCTCTCTATCGTTACAAGATAGAGGTAAGATTTGCTTACACACTATCTTCCCCGTACCTCACATTATGGGAATACACTGAATTTATTGTTATTATTATTGTTGATCCAATATAGAAACAAGGCTTCTGATTCGAACATTATACGTATGTTGAAATAACAATTATTTTTTCTATTTCATTTTATGCGACACTCTTTCTTTTTAAGTTTGTTTATGTTTGAAAGTTTTTAACTTCAAACTTTAATATTTCACCCTCAGTAAGATACTCTTACAGTGACATAACATGTACACGACCACAAGTTCTTTTAAATCTTTTTTTCTTTTTTAAATTTAGTGCAAAATTAAAAATCATCAAAAAAATAATATAAAAGAAATCAAACTTGTATTCTATCAGTACATTTTTAACTTAGCTGGAAGTTACATCGTCTAAATCCCGGATCCGCTACTATTTAAGCCATGTCCTTTATTGCAGCGTGGACATGAATACGATGTTCACAGTGCATAGTTTGGAGTCTGGGTCACCCATTTTTGGCCATTTTGATACTTTTGCAGTTTCTTAATCTTTCTGTCAAAAAATAGCTGTCATAAGCAGCTAGTGGCTTGGGGCATTTTTTTAATCTTTAAGAGAAAATTTAGTATACCTAATTTGATTATGTCAACACTATATTCATCTTAATTCTATATATACTAAACTTTGGCTGTGAAACAGTGGAAGAGCAGTGGCAGACTTTTCATGAAAATTTTGTCTGTATTATTCACTTGGTGGGGACCAAGAATTGCTTAGTTAATTATACTTAGGAAGCTTACAAAAACAAACATATTATTTAATAATATTTATATAATTTTTTAAAATTATATATTTATTGATATGGTAACATGGACAAAGCGCCTACTCTTTATAATAGAGCCGGCAAGATCTGCTTTCGTAAAATCAGGCTATTAGTTAACCAATCTCTCTCTCTATATTTTTTTTTTTTGGGTAATTTTAACCGTCAAAAATAGAATTTGAAGCAGTGAATTGAGCAGGGTGGGCTATAGAGGAGCATACACCACTTTTTGAATATCTTTTTAATAACGGTGATGTTCATGCATTTGCACCACACGTCCATTATTTTTGTGGATGTGTATATTCCACTTTTTACCTGTAATCTTCTTAAGATTTAGTTGCTGATTGTTAAATAGTACTTCCTCAAACAAATATTTCTTATTTGGATAGGAAAAGAACACTTCTCTTGGTATTAAGCTGTCTTAAAAGGTAAAAAAAAATCTTTACAAGGAGAATATATATGGTGTCCCAAGTGGTATGCGTATTTCTTTTGACAAGGCTCTCATTCCTTACTAATTGCAACTCACAATTACAAGCATCCTATAGTAAGGAAAAAAATTAGTCACATC